CACCTCCCTAACAAGAATCGGATGTAGAGGCTCCCAGCAATCAAGTCGGCGGATCCCCCGCTCGTGCCCTGACAGATGATTCCGATCCCAACTGCTCTTTGATCCAGCCGCCGACAAAGAGGTGAGCTCGAGTTACTGGCAGGTCATTGGGAGCAAGCGGGTCTACCTCCTCCGGCTCCAATTTCTCGAAGTCGCCATGCGATCTCCAGGTACTACTGCAGGCCTCCAGTACGCCCTTAGTCTTTCACTCCATCCATGACTTCATCTGAACGAGTATTAGTTATTTATTGGACATTTTCGTTGCGTTTGTGTATGTTCAGTGCTGTGTTTAGAAGCTACTGGAAAGTGGAAATTATGATTGTGACAGGTCCTACCTATACGTCAAATTGTCTGCGGTTTAAATGAGCAAATGGTATTTCTAGATATGTAGCTGGAAATATGCAGATAGAAATGATGGTATGTCGTATGTGGATCTGCAGATACTATTTAGGTATGTACCGCTTCTACTAATAATTTACATATGGTAAATATTGTTTGCATGTACTTTCATGATCTGCATGGTTGCATTTTCTGCTCCTGTATGCTATTTGATATGATCTTAGCTAGTGCCGAAATATAATGAAATGGTAAACACATATTGTTAAATGGTTGCCTACTGCAATACTGCTGCACTAGCTTCTCTCTGCAATTTGCTATGATGCCCTCCGTAATTTATGCATTTGCATGGCCTTGCTCGGCACGTCTTCAGCTCCTCATTGACAAACCCTGAGCAGCTACGAGAGGAACTATGAGGATATTGGGTGTGACTATGGAATGTTAGTGGATCCAATAACTTGAACATGATCCAGTGGAAGTTGTGTTGTCTATTGGTCACAACAGGGGTATAGGCTAAGCTCCACATCTCTTGGATTTGTGACCAGGTTAGTATGTGACATATAATTCTTCTCCATATATGACTCAAGTTGCTTGTAAGTGTAATAAGAAAACAATTGCATAACAGAACTAGTGTCTATTGTTTATTGCAGTTGTGTTTGTTGACCAACTCTTCTGTGTGTTAGCGATTGATATGAAGGAATTAACTAAATCTCTCAAAAATATTGTTGTCGTTGTAATATTCTCTAGCTTACATTTCCTCACACTTGTACCTTGTAAATACCTGATTTTCTAGCTTCTAGACAGGAGTGCTAAGAATAATTTCTGAGTCATATACTATACCTGAGCTATGTAATATACCTGAATACATGCAAATTATTTATTGATTGATGGCTAGAGAAGAATTCCTTTGATCCATTTACTATACCTAAAGACTTGCAAATCAATCTTGTGATTTTAATTGTCATTCATTTATTGATGAATTCTTTACAAACTGCTATGAATCTAGTTATCAGCTTTTTTCTTCCTTTCTTTTTATAGGCCAATCATACCAGAAGAGGTGATAATCATGCTGACCAACAATTATGGCAATGATCATTATGATATTAGTCCTGGAGTCATAAATGCTAATATGTAATCTTTGAAATGGCAAATATCTATTCTATCGAACTGTGAGAGATGCTATTGGCTTTATTATTGCCTGACCCAGTTCTCACATGTAAGGTTTTTTTGTTAACCAAATGATGTGTAGTTTTGTAATTTTCGGAAACTATTCTATTCATCAAACACATGGCTTATTTTATAGGTCAAGGCCCCTTTAGAACCCAGGAAATTTTTTGTTTCATGCATCATTCTGCGAAATGAACTGATTCTTATGAAATTACTGTATGCAAAGGGGCCCTAAAAGGCCTAATTGTTCAACTCAAACCCTCGTAATCTTGGTACACTTCCATCTTTACATGTTAGATCTATTTGGTTAAAATTCATGTCCACTAATTTAATCTCCTGTTATTTTGCAGCATGATGGACAATGTTTTTAAGGCGTCGCTTTGGCGTCGCCTAATCGGCAAGGCGCTACAGGTGGGACGACTTGGCGGACGACTCGCCTCAGATTGGTATGGCGTCCGCCTTACTACCATGGCGTCCGGAAGTCGTCGATTTGGCGTCCGATTCGTCGAAATCGAGCAAGGCGGGCGCCATACGGGGATGGCCACGGTAGGAAACGGCGGGGAAAACTGAGAGAGAAGGGGTGCGCAGGAGAAACAGAGCGCGCCGGAGGGAGAGAACGGGCGTGCAGGAGATTCACCAACAGGAGAGCGGGAGGGGAACCAAAAGCCGCAGCTCACTCGTGCAGACGCGTTCTCCCGCGCCGACGGGAGAAGTTGCTGCCCGCCCGCCACCGAGCCGTGCGGCTGCCTGTGCGGGCTGCGGCCATGTTCCCCCAATCGGCGCTGACCTGCAACATCTTGCCTCCTCTGTTCCTCCATCGAGCTGCAGCGTCCAAAGCCCTTCTGTTCCTCCGTCTATCAAGCAAGAAGAGCAGCACATCTGGAGGAGAGAGGGAAGCAAGAGACAGAGAGGGGTGGAGGCGGAGCGGCAGTGGAGAACGAGAGAGAGAGAGAGAGAGAGAGAGGTGCGGCGGCGCTGGAGATGAAGCAAGAGACAGAGAGGGGTATATGGGCTGCCTGGTGGGCTGGGCCAGACTACTTCTCGCTCCTTCTCCTTTCTTTTTCCTTTTTCCTTTTTGTTTTTCTTCATTATCTACCACTCTAAGCTGCTCTTTTAAGATTCACTTAAGATGTTAAGGCGTCGCCTCGCCTCACGCCTTAGTCGCTTTAGCGTAAGGCGGTAGTCAGTCGCCACGCCTCGCCTTACCGCCTTGAAAACATTGATGATGGAAGTGTTCAACTTGATGCGCTACACAAGTTTGGAAGTGAACAAGATAGATTTAGGTGTTAGAGAGAGTTTCTAGATGTTTGTATGATAGTGCCACTTTTCCTATACTTTTGGTTAACATGACTGTATTTGTGAGTCCACTTTAACGAGTTATTTAATCGGTATCTGTTTTTATAAAGGCATGGATTTTACAAGTGCAATGCCTTCGTGGTTTATTTTCTGATTATGTAACCATAAAATTAGTGTACAAATTGTAAGCAATGTCTCTATTGATAATACATAATGTACTATTATAAAGTGTGTCAATATTACTAATATATGAGCTATATGAAGATGCATCTATGAAAATGTTCATGTTTTTGTTATGACACAATAAAATGTTACTATACAATGTATCTATATTAGTAAGCATGAATATAAATATATGTATGAAATTTCTCCTACATGTTCTTGAGACGCAGCATGGTGTTGCTATACAATGTATCTATGTCAGTAGATGTATCTACTAAATTGTTTCTATATTTTTTAATACACAATAAAATGACACTACACAACGTAACTATATTAGTACACATAATATAAACGTATCTATGAAAATGTCTCAAACATTTCTCAGCACATAATGAAGCCCTGCTATATAACGTAACTACACAAATAGACATGTTATATAAATGTATCTATAAAAATGTATCAATATGCATAGGCATGTAACTAACATCTCTACAAAACGTCTCTTTTATCACCTTGTCACGCTTAAGGAACTCGTCTCTACAAGTCCTGACACGGTCCATGCGAAGACGCTTCTAACATGCTTTATAAAAATGTGACTACAATCTTGTAAAGAAGAAATAAAACGTGTCTAACATATAAATAAAACGTCACTACAGGGGTATTTCTAGTAGTGGTAACAGGAAATCTTTTATGGATAAATGCTTAGTTTGGTTGACAAGATAATTTCAAATCAAAAAGTTGTCAACTATACAGTTTCATAACTTTTTGAGATCTACAACTTTTATTTTGGTAGTTTCTGCATACGAGGTCATTTAAAAAATTCAAAATTCAAAATTCAAATTTTTGGAAATTTAAACTTAGTTTTCCATGACAAGATGATTTCAAATGAAAAAGTTATCAACTACAAAGTTTCATGGCTTTTCGAGATCTACAACTTTTATTTTGGTTCTTTCTCCACCCGAGGACGTTTGAAAAATTTGAATTTTAGTAGTTAATTTTTAAAATTCGGCGTGTATTTGTAGAGGCGGCTCAATAGAGTAGTGTGGAACATCACAAACACCATCACAAACAGTAATATAACATGAATTGCAACTAAAACATCACAATTTTCATCACTGCTACTCAGGATCGAACAACAACCATCACCAAAAGCAAAAGTTTCGATCATGTCATCTAGATATATATACATATCAACACTCATGCCCATTGGCAATCAAGGAAGAACCTACGACACTCATTGTGGATCCTACACTCCACACTGCAGAACAGGGCCCACTGCTCCCATGCTACCAATTCGGCGATGTCGCCGCAGCCTCCGCCTCGGCATTGATGCCTGACCTGGCGAGGCACTGGATGGGCCAGAGAAGGCAGATCAGGCCTCGCTGCACGGCGTGGCACCACCAAGTCGTCCTGCAACACCACCCTTGCCTGTTGGCGGTGCCGTGCACAATTCTTGTTCTTCCACGTCGCATTCTTCGCAAGGTGGAGAGGTGAGATTTTATGAGTGTGTCTCTTGAAGTTTCCGCATGGGCGCGGGAATGGCGAACGTCATAGCGGTGTGAACCACGTAAACCGCGTAAACGCGTCTGTAGTTCCCTAGACTGCCCCTCGTTTCATTCTTGTATTTACTACAGACGCATTTTCCAAACACGCGTCTATAGCATAACTGCTGGCTCATTAATTCCTATTGCAATCTGATTCAATTAGATTAATTAAGGAATAAAACATTCCAGCCTTCACATTTACAAGTGACAGTAAATGTGGACAAATTTTAGTTGCATTGTCACTATGTTCACTCATCATTTCAGTTGCATTCAACATCTACACATAACAAATTTGGACACCAAATTCCATCCATCCATCCATTCATCCAGTTGCATTGAACATCCAGTTTCATTCATTCAATCAATGCATTGGGGATTACTTCATTACAGCATACATCCGAACACATCCAAGGACAATACAAACAACACACACAATAAACATGTTCATCTTCCACTTCAAATTCTCCAACTTCTGCTCCAAGTTTTCTTCTTGGTGTCACCATTTGGACTGTCCACTGAACCTTCTTCTTCATCCAGCAGCTCTGCCCAATTCAAAGGGCAAACAATTATGATACCACGATCCTTCAACTGCTGGAAGTACTCCTTTTCGAATCGATAGGAACCACATAGCTTAGGAAACTAAAAACAACAATAAATTAGAACCCTAATTGTGCAAATTGGGGGGATAACACTACAAAGAACTCACCCCATTCCTAGCACACTTGAAGTAGAGTCAGCCATGGTTGTCACCATCCTTCTTGGTCCACCCCTCCACCACCCGAGCAAGACCACAATCCAGGCAAGGGATCAGCGGGAACCCGCTGAGCTCACCAACTGGATCCAGAACGACGTTGTGCTCGGAGCCAATGCGGGTGCTGCGGGCACCTTGAAGCCTACTCCTCGCCCGTCCACCTCCAGAGGACTCCGCGAAATGAGACATCGCGTCTTGAGCTGGGAGAAGGGACGGAGAGCTTGGCGGCAGCGGCGGAGGAAGGCAGTGAGAAGAAGTGAGGTAGACAGAGTGATGCAGAGACAGAGGGAGACGGAGGCGGATATATATTTAATCTGGTCCAACCTTTCTATAGACGCGTGTTAATAACACGCGTCTGTAGTACTGTGCCTGCGTACTTAGCCGTTGGCACGTGCTAACGGATAGAGGGAGTGGCCTACATACTTGACGCGCATGGAACACAGTGGCCAGTGGCCGTTGTCGCACGCCTCTCATGCGGGCGGCGCCAGCCATTACGGCGCTCCCATAGGCGGAGGCATGGTGCGCAGGCCGGAGGAGCGCGCTGCTATGGCGAGCAGTAGGCCATGGGGCGTGCTGCTGCAGCGGGTGGCAGTGGGAGGCCGTAGGGCCGTGCCACCTTCTCGAACTGTAGGTAAGCTCGAGCCGTCGGCTCTCCTCTCTTTCCCTATTCTCTGTCGGAGCACTGCCACGCCGCTCGACGGTGAAATTCATAGTCGTTGTTCCATCTTCTCCCAATTTCTCACGCTCCTAGCTCCGCCTAGTTCTTACAGTCCTCCTCGAACCGCTGTAGCCACCTCTCGCATGCCACAATCACCTTTGTCATTGGTTGCCGATGCGGCCGTGCCACCATGGCCGCCATGGGAAGCTCGCCGTGGCCAACTCATTCCGGCGCTCCTCTGGTGATCCTGTTTATTGTTTTAACTCTTCTGCAACTCCGTTATGCTCATCGGCTCCATTCTTTTACCTCTAATGCGCAGGTCACGCCGAAACGGCGACCTCGCCACCAGTTCACGTCGTCGCACGCGCCATCACCGCCGGCCTTCTAGCTCCGCCTCGTCCCTGGCTCAACCAAGCAGCGCATCGACATCGTGGTGAGCTACTGATGCTGCCTAAGCCCTTCGACTAACCACTACCATGCTGTATTGGTCGGAGCACCACCGCGCCGCCGTTCTATGTCCGCCACACTGCCTTGGCTATGGTCGAGCTCGAGTCTAACTCTAACTCGTTCCTCTCTCTAGTGTACTCGATCAGGCATGCTCTGACCATGCTTTGCCATCTCGAGCTGCAGGGGATCGCTGGCGTGCTCAGCTCTCCTCCCTGGTTCTCGGTGTGCTTTGCTCTTCAGCGTCCTGTTCTCTGGCGTGTGCTTCTCTATGAATAGTGGTGAGCTCAATAAGAACTTTTATGAGCTTGTGTGAAACTGTGATGAATTTGCTTGTGTGAAACTTGCAATGTGAACTAAGTTTATTGGGAAAATGTGATTTTTGTTACTAAAGCATTGATGAATTTGCTTATATTCTTCATTTTTCAATCTTCTTTTGTAGACTATGGAGGATCAAGGCCACTGGATGTATCTTTAGAACCATACTTGTAATGAGTACTTGGAAGGACTGAAATATTTTCTAGCTGTTGTAGAGGCGGACATGAGGAATGGACATAAGTCATCTATGTTGTGCCCATGTGTTGACTGTAAGAATGAGAAGCAGTACTCGAATCAGTTGTCAGTCCATGCCCACCTAGTTCTTCAAGGATTCATGGATGACTATAGATGTTGGAACAAACATGGAGAAGAAGGTGTCAATGAGTGAGATGGTGAGGAAGGATTTCATGAAACTTTTGCCGGTGGCAATGAGGAAGCACCCTTTGGCAATGAAGAAGCAACCTTTGGCAATGGGGAACTATGTGATGATGATGTAGCAGAGATTGCAACCAGCCCTGTCCCAACGGTTGAGAATCTAGAGGAGATGGTGCATGATGCCTTCGGCTTTGATAAGTACACTGGTTCAGAGTCCAAGAAGCTGAAGCAGCTGTTGGAAGATATGAAGACACCACTCTATCCGAGCTGCAATGAGAGGTATACGAAGTTGTCCGCTTCACTAAAGCTTCTCCAACTGAAGGCGGCACATCATTGGACTGACAAGGGCTTTAGAGAATTGCTAGAAGTGCTCGGAGATATGTTTCCCAAGGGGAATCAAATACCTAGGACAACATATGAGGCCAAGAAGATTGTTTGTCTGATGGGATTGAAGTTCAAGAAAATTCATGCTTGCAAGAATGACTGCATCCTATTCCGTGGTGACAATGCAGCCCTCACTGAATGCCCCAAGTGTGGGACCTCTCGTTACAAGCGAAGAATTAACGAGGGTGATGACGGTGAGGAGACGCACCGTAGAGTTCCTAGGAAGGTTGCTTGGTACTTCCCTATAATTCCTCACCTGAAACGTTTGTTTGCAACCTCCAAGGATGCATGACTGTTGAGCTATCACTCGGATGGGTGGACGGTTGATGATTACATACGGCATCCAGCAGATGGTATTCAGTGGTAGGTCATTGATTTCAAGAATCAAACTTTGCTAATGAGCCAAGGAATCTTTGGTTTGCACCCAGCACGGATGGCATGAACCCATTTGGTAACATGAGTAGCTCACATAGTGTCTGTCCTGTGCTGTTAACTATCTACAACCTTCCCCCATGGCTATGTAACAAGAGGAGGTACATGATGATGTTAGTTCTGATATCTGGTCCATGTCAACCAGGTGTTAACATCGACGTGTTTCTAAGGCCGCTTATTGATGATTTCAAGGAACTCTGGAAAGAAGAGGGTATCAGGGTGTACAATGGGTTCAGGAAAGAATATTTCAACCTACGTGCCATGGTCATGACCACTATCACTGATATTCTAGGACATTGTAGCATGTCTGGGCAGAGAAAAGAAGAAAAAGACTGCTTTCATTGCTTAGATGGCACGAAGATTGTTTGGCTAAATAAGTCAAAGAAGAGGGTCTATGTAAGGCACCGATGTTTCCTTCCTAAGTCTCATCCATACCGGGAGATGAAACGTTAGTTTAATGGCACTAGGAGACAAGATCTACACCAAGGCATTTTAGTGGGCGACAGGTATATGACCGGCTGGTAGGGGATACCACGCCTAAAGTTGACCTGGAGAGCACTGTCCTTGGAAAGCGAAAGCACAGTGCAAAAGCAAAGAGTGTCGATAAGAAGAGGTGGAAGAAAATGTCAATCCTATGGGAACTGCCTTACTAGAAAGACATAGCAGTCCGCCACAGCATCAATCTCATGCACGTGAAAAAGAATGTCTGTGGGAGTTTGCTTGGGACACTCATGAATGACAAATGGAAAACCAAGGACCATGCAAAAGTAAGAGCTGACCTAGAGGAATTGGACATAAGGCTCGAGCTCCATCCTGATGGTACCAGTGCCTAGCCCCCTCTATCTGCCATAAACCTAACCCGAGAAGAGAAGCAGGAATCATGCGACTTCTTTCGTACTATCAAACTTCCCTCTAGATACGCAGCCAACATCCAAAAGCTTATGCCTACAAGAGAAAACAAGATGCTTCCCATGAAGGCTCATGATTGCGATGTCATGCTCACAACGATGCTTGCAGTTGGTATCCAGAACATATTGCTAGAAAAAAACCCGAATGGCAATCATGAGCCTCTGCTTCTTCTTTAATGCAATCTCTCAGAAGGTCATTGATGAACAATCACTGGAAGATCTTGAAAAGAACATGATTGAGGTGATGTGTCTCCTTGAGGCTTACTTCCTGCTGACTTTCTTTGACATATCCGTCCATCTCATTGTACATTTGGTTAAGGAGATTAGGTATCTTGGACCGATGTTCCTCCACCACGTGTATCCGTATGAGAGATTTATGAGCACTCTGAATAGGTATGCCAAGAGTCGGGTCCATCCCGAGGGAAGCATGGCGCAGTGCTATTCTACTAAGGAGGTGGTCGACTAGTGCCTCGGTTACATGGACCCCACCAATCCAATTGGCATCTCCAAGTCTCGCCATGAGGGAAGGCTAGCGGGCAAAGGGTGTGTTGGGGAGAAGCACATTACTCCAGAGAGAGATGCCTATGAACGAGCCCACTTTCTAGTGTTGCAGCACACAGCAGAGGTGGAAACTTACATCAAAGAGCATATGGAGATGTTGAGGCAACAAAACCCACACTGGGGCGAAGCTTGGTTATCGAGGGCACATATGAGTGGGTTCAACATCTGGTTTAGAGATTGACTTGTCAGTTCAATCTCTTGCATAGATGAAAGGCTTCAAAAGCTGACAAAGGGGCCTTTCTTCACAGTCACAAGCTATCAAGGCTATGACATAAATGGATATACCGTTTACACCATTGATCAAGACAAAGAAGAGTGTGTACTAGAACAGTGTTGTTCGTGTAGATGCATTTGATAGCAAGATGCAGAAGACAACGTACTATGGTTAGATTGAAGAGATATGGGAACTCTTGTATGTAGGCTTCAAGGTGCCTGTTTTTCGGTGTCAATGGGTTTCGGGAAGTCAGGGTGTCATGAAAGACAGGTATGGCTTCACTACGTTTGACCTCAACCAAGTTGGGTATAGGGATGAGCCATTTGTAGTCTCAAGTCAGGTTTCCCAAGTCTTCTATGTGAGCGACACTAGAAACAAGAAACGACAAGTGGTTCTTCCTATAAAAGCGGGTTGTCGGACTCTAAAATCCAGTGGATGAGGAAGAGTTGAATCAATCCAATTAAGTGCCTCCTTTGGATACTTCCATCCTCCCTATGATATTAGCGAGCGAGCTAACTCCATACCTAAGAGATGTCCATAAAGAGGCTGCCCCCATGGCAAAAAGACGCCGAAAACGGCAACTACGCAAAAAAAGATGCTCATGTGAGTTTTTGAACAATGTGCAATCTAATTTTTTTAGTTAACAATATATATTTGTCGTCGCTCTTACTTACAATGTGATTTTACTTTCAGGAACTTTCAAGAAGGGATTCTAGCTAATGAGAGAAGTTCATGTCATCAAGGATGTAAATTGTAGAATGAGAGATGTAAATTGTACTAAATAAGTTCATGTCATCTAGTCTAGGATGTTAAACCCACAACTCCTTGTAATGTTTATGGTACCTTGTGGATGTATGCTAAAATTTGCTTATCAAGACTACTTCATTTCATTTGT